AACAAAATGCTGGCATGTTGGTGCAGCAGTAATTAAGAAGGGAAATGGAAGTTTGGCCTTTATTGTTGGAGCTAGAGTTTAAAAATAATTATGACTTGTTACAACTGAACAGGCTGTTACGCAAGGCCACACCTGGAGTACTGTGTGAACTTCTGTCCCAGATTTAAGAAAGGATACACTGGCATAGGAAGCAATTCAAAAAGAAATTCACTCAGCCGCTTACTAGAATGAAAGGGTCATCAAGCATGACTACATACATAACGCCTTCATTCATTAGCGTTTGGAAGAATGAGGGTGACCTTACTGAAACACACAAGGTTCTGAGAGGCTTGAATTGGTTGATGTTGAGAAGAAGATATTTCCACTGGTGGGAAAATCACAAACTAGGGGACATAGTTACAGGATAAGGGGATGCTCATTTAAAACAGAGAGAGAAAAAAAAAAAGGAATTTCTTCTTTCGGTGGCAGCGGATTTCTGGAATTCTCTACCCCAGAGAGTTGTGGATGATAGATCAGAAAATATTTAAAGAGGAAGTAGGTAGACTTTTGAAATATTGGGGAATTGATGACTATGAAGAGCTGAGGCTTGGGGCAGATCAGCCATCATACTGCTGAATGGCAGGGACAGGTCTGAGGGACGAAGTAGTCTTCTCTTGCACCATGCGTTCTCTCATTTACCTCTTGTGAAATATCTTTGGACTAAAAACTGGTCGCTCATTCGCTGATGTAAAAATGATCACACTTTATAGAAAAAAAAACATTGCATGTAAGGTGCTTTCGGACATCTACAGAAGTTCTTTTTTTCTATTTGATAAGAACATGCAGTAAAATGTGAGTATTGGATTGAACAACGGCACAAAGCAGGGAGTTCAGGAATGGACGAAGGGGAAATTTTGGATTAAACGGAGTTTGGTACAGAGTGATGATTATGAAAAATTGTGAAGTGACCAGGAAGAGACTTAGCACAATGATAAGGGAGTGAACGACAAGAGAAAGGTATAAGGTTTGGAGGTTAAGAGCAATATGGGTAGAGGTGCGTGGGAGTGGGTATTCTAAATCTTAACTAAATACTGGGTTGAATTTTCTGAGGTATGGAAATCTCACGCATATTGTCAAAATAGAGGGGCAAAAGGAGGGAGCTTCACATCTTTAAGATAAGGTTTCACTCAAGTCTCCCCAAGAAACGAGGAACTGCATTTCAATCTGATAGCTCTTTCATAGAGCCAAACAGTGGAGGAAAGGCAGACTATGTCCCCTTTCCACAGCATCAGATGCCATGTTCTAACACAGAAAGGTTCTGACAGCCACTTCGACCACTGCTGCTGTTGTTAAATAGTAAGTGCATAAGGTCAGTGTGATGTTGGGCTGCAGGGAGGATAGAGAGCTTGATGAATAGAAAGCAGCTGGGAGGTGGAGTTGCCATGAGAACCCATGGCGAAAGACAAAGGAGTACAGATCCAACGCATATCTGGCAGCCACTTAATGTTCTGTGTCTGGGTCTCCAAAAGTGGATGGCGCCCTTTTCATGGTGGCAGCCAAGTGTCACACGTTGGAGCCATCACTGTAGCGAGAATGTTGTAGGCTTCCTCGTCTTCCTTTCCAGCCTACACTGCCTGATGTTCCTATGCCTGTCTCTGTAGGTTGAGCCTGTCACTTGTAGCTGACAACAGGCGCACATCTTCTGCAGGAGGCTGAGTAGGTACCTCATCTCCAGCAGTCCTTGTACAGTGTCAGAGAGTTGGAGCATTTGATTCTGCCAGTGGCTGCAGAGCTGTGTCAATTATGTACTCACCAGACTGTGCACTCAAATCTAATCTAAATAGAGTAACCACGGAGGTGGAAATCTGAACTGGTGATGGGTGTGGACGAATGTCTTGCCTGTGCATGCTCCAAGGGGTCACGGGCTACCTCATCAGAGGGGAGAAGTGACCTCTTCCATGTGGAGGTTCCCCGAGTGCTGCTACTGCCTGCAATAATAGAGGGAACTATGTGGGGAAGGTAGCTAAAAGCTATTGCAGAACAAGAATAAGATAATACTAGAGGTAGTCGAGGATGAGCATAGCTCAAAAGAAGCACCAGAGGTGGTGAGGTGTCTTCAGTGAGTAAGCAAGAAGCACCAGAGGTGGTGAGGTGTCTTCAGTGAGTAAGCAAGAAGCACCAGTTATGTCTCATTGGAATGGAGTACTCAGAGATGCTGCTGTTGAGGAAGGCTTGGAGCAAGAAAATGTGAAAGCAATTAAATTCAGAAAAGTGCATACTCTAGTTTACAGCCTTGGTTCATCCAGAGATATGAAGCCAGTCCCTTTCAGTGATGCTTCACATGCCAATCTTCCAGATTGATATTCTTGTACAACAAGGTTTATCAAGTTCTTGGTGGGGAAGAATTATAAATGGCTTGGGAAGCCATGAAAATATAAAGTTCCTTAGCCTCCGAGACTTTGGTGGTATTAGAAGCTGTAGAAAGAGTATTTATCCAATATTCTAAAAGAAATCCTACACAAAAGGGCAATCTGAGAAATTTACCCATAAAATGCATTATGTAGATGTCCAATTTATTGGGAAGAATGCACATGCAGGAAAGGGTGTTGCTAAGAAAATACTGAAGATTGACTTTGTTAGCAAAAAGGAAATGTGAGAAACAAAAAAAGATTTCAAAAATAAAGCGGGTTGACACAAGTCACCAGTTGTCAGATTGTTTCACAAAAATAGAATTTGCCCCAAGAAAATGTTGGAGGTGCTCAGAGATGGACACCTTGCTGGATGAGGAATAATAAGAACATTTTTAAAAAATTACATTTTGTTTGATCACTTTGCGATTGAACACTTTTTGTTTCAAGAAAGAAGGTGGGGTGGGTGGATTCAAAAGCTTGATTACATGATGTGGAATATAATTATTCTTGAAAAATCTAAGATTGTACATTCCACCTCCTACACATTCTTGGGGGTTACATTTCTCTCCTCTGCAGGTGCCTCAAATGCCTCAGACTATACAAGTTTCTTTTGAAGTGTAGTCATTGCTGTTTTGTAGGCATTAAAAGACAAAGTTAACTTGAAAGAAAACATACAGCATTCACTATCCAGTAAAAAGCAGCTAAAAGCACAAATATCAAGCACATATTTTGCACTTCAGTCATCACATTTCCCTGGAAATAAGTCAAATGGTTTATTTTGCAGCCCCACCTATTGCTATGAATAGCATTTTTATTTGGAAATCTGGTCAACTGTAGTCAGGACAGTGGCTGTTTAAGCTATTTTACTACAGAACCAGCTACTTTGCTTTGTCATATCCAGAACTGCAATGAATTTTTATGTAGTTACTTAACTGCAATCATGGGCCATACAAATTGGTTCCCTTCCATAACAAAATAGCCTTTTATGTCCAATTTATATTCAGTCTGCATTCCTGGGCACCCACCCAAATTGACAATACATACAAAACGAAACAGATTTAGGCCCAAGGCCATTTACTTAATTGGCAAATGTTTCTAAAATTGCACTTTTCAAATGACTTTTGGAGCTGTAGTGCTATGACAGGGACTCCACTATCAAAACAGTTTCCATTACATTCCAGCAAATTCTTTAGGTTGATGTTTATATGATTAGTTTGCAGACTGACATCCTGGAAAATCTATCACCCTCCTTAAAAGTTTCTAAACCAATGATCGAGGATTCCACTTAAGAAATTTCAATTTGCCCAATGTAGAATACCCACTGTACCCAAATTAGACACCCAAGAATCAGCCACACTCAGAAAATATTTGCAAAGATAGCTCACAGCCAAATTGAAGCGCTTGCTCAGATATGTCTACAGTCTGCATTCTGCTCAACATACAAATATTATTCACCAGTGAATATCCCTCTATTTGTCTATTCATGCCTTGGGAACATTTTGCTTTAAACTGTCAGGAGTTAAGTAGCAAAGTGTGTCCAACTTCCAAAGACAGGTTTACCACTCCAAATCTCACAGTAAACTGGGTTAACTGTTTCTTTATCAACAGGATCCTGGAATGTTGCTGAGCTGCCTTACTCAATTACCCTCAAAAGGTTACAACACAGCGTCAATTCAGTTCCAATTACCCAGCATCAGCTTAAACCCAATATAAATCACATGACCTGTTTGCCACTCCTTTCCTCATGAGGAAAAGATAGACAGCCTAGGTTTATCTTCTCCGGAGTTTAGAAAGGTCAGAGGTGACAGAAATGAAACATAAAAGATCCTGAGGGGACTTGACCAAGCGGATACAGAAAATGTTTCCATATGTAGGGGAATCTAGAACTAGGGGTCATGGTTTATAAAATAGGGTTTTCCCATTTAAGGCAGATGATGAAACATTTTTCTCTCAGAATCAGAATCCCTATAGTGTGAAAACAGGCCATTCAGCCCATGGAGTCCATACCAACCCTTTGAAGAGCATCCCACCCAGACCCAGACCCATCCCTGTAACACTGCATGAACCATGGCTAATCCAGCTAACCTATACATCCCTGGACACTATGGGCAATATAGCATGGCCAATTCACCCACCCTGCATATCTGTGGATTGTGGGAGGAAACTGGTATACCTGGTGGAAACCCACGCAGCCACAGGGAGAATGTACAAAATTCCACACAGACAGTTGCCCGAGAGTGGAATCAAACCCAGGTCCCTGGTGCTGTGAGGCAGCAGTGCTAACCACTGAGCCACTATACCACTCTAAAGATAGAGTGTCTGTAGAATTCCCTCTTTTAAAAGGGAGCAGATGCAGAATCTATAGATGTTTTTAATGCGGAGGTAGGTTCTTGGTTAGCAAGGGGATGAAGGATTACTGGGGACATGCAGACGTGTAGAGTTGGGTTAAAATCAGATCAGCCCCGATCTCATCGAATGGCAGAGCAAGCTCAAAGGGTTGAGTGTCCTATTCTTGTTTCTTGTTTATACCCTTCATCACCTAGGATGACGGAACATTCCAAAAGTGCCAAGTTCAAAAACTTAGAAGGAAGGAACCATTACAAATCTTACCATGAGAAATGGTCCACTTCAAAAAGGGCATAACAGTGAGTGAATTCCAGCACCACCTGATTTGTAATGTCCTTCCATTTCTGGACATCTGGATCCCCATGAAGTAAGTGCAATTTGGAACGGTCCAAATTCAAACCTGGAACAAGAGTTCAACTTCTTTGTAAAAAAAAAAAGACTTTAAGCTTCTGTTAAAAATAGAAGTGCAAATTCCATTAAAACGGAAATAGTACATGGCTCAAAAGTGATTTTAATTTGGCTTGAGTATTAGAAAAGGCACAAATACACACGTACCGAATTCCAAAACACCAAAGCAAGGACAGTTTAGTGTCGATAATGTGCATTTCCATACAGGATCTGAACAGCCAGGGAAAGCTCTTAATTCACTCCTGTTTTTCCTTACTTTTAATTGGGGTGGAATTGATTGTTACATGGAAAAACTGATTTGGAAAAAATCAGTGTGGATTTTGTTTTAGACGGAAAAACAGTGTTTAACTAACTTGATGATGGGAAGGCTGTTGATGTGCTATACACAGATTTCCAAAAGGTTTTCAATACCTTGCAACACAACAGACTTCTGAAGAAAGTTTGAGGTCATGGTATAGAATGTACAGCAGCAAAGTGGATTCAAAATTGGCTGAGGGATAGAAAGTGGACAGTATTGATGTTTGGCTACTTTTTGTGCTGGAGGAAGGTTTCCACTGTAGTTCCCTGGGGGTTGGTATTGGGAGCGATGCTGTTCCTGTTATATATAAAAAAAAAAACTTAGAACTTGATGTGCAGGGGACAATTTCACAGTTTGCAAGCGACACAAAAAACTCAACTATAAAATGAGGGGGATAGTGTAGAACTTCATGCAGACATTAAAATGCTGCTTGAGTGTGTGTTTGGTGGCAGATCAAGTTCAACGTGGAGAAGCATGAGGGGATTCATTTTGGTATAAAGAGCAGGGAGAGGTAGTATTAAAGAAAAGGTACAATTCTAAAGGGTGTGCAGGAGCACAGAGAGCTGTATATATATATGTACATAAATCATTAAAGATGGCAGGAAAGGGAAACGGAAATGTTAACATTGCGTTATGGTACTCATGGCTTCATAAGTAGCGGCAGAGAATAAGAACAAGGAAATTATGATGAACTTATATAAGACACTGCTGGGATATTATTTATAGTTCTAGGCACAACACTGCAGGAAGGATGCAAATGTATCAAACAAACAGTGTAGAAGAGATTTACAAGAATGGGTCCAGGATGAAGCACTTCAGTTATGACTATGAATGAGAGAAGTTGGGACTGTTATTCTTGGATAGGAGAAGACCAAGATGAGATTTGATAGGAGTTGTCAAAACCATGAAGGGTCTGGGGACAGAAAGCATAGGGAGAAACTGTTTCCAATAATAAATGGATTGAGAATTAGACGGCACAATTTTCAAGTGTTTTACAAATTCCAGCTGAGGAAAAAAAAAAGAATACTTTTCCACATTAGGATCTGGAATCTGGCATCGCCTGGAAATGGGGTAGAGGCATGTTCAAGGTAGGGATTCAAGAGTCCATTGAATGATCATTTAAGCAGAAATAATAGAATCATAGATCATAGAATCCCAACAGTATGGGAACAGGCTACATGTCCCAACAAGTCCGCACCGACCCTCTGAACAGCACCCCACCCTATCCCTGTAACCCTAATCTACCTAGCCTGCAAATCCCCGACACTATGGACAATTTGGCGTGGCCAATCCACCTAGACTGCACATCTTTGGACTGTGGGAGGAAACCGGAGCACCCAGAGAACGCGCAAACTCCACACAGACAGTCACCAAGGGTGGAATCGAACCCGGGTCCCTGGCGCTTTGAGGCAGCAGTGCTAAAACACTGAGCCACCGTGCCACCCCAATATGTAGGGTTTTGGGAAAAGGCAGGAGATTGGCACAAAGTTGAAATGTTCAGAGTAAGTGCAGACACGATGGGCTGAATGGCCCCTTCCTCCACCATAACAATTCTGGAGAGCTCAACCAGCCAAAGTTCAGGATTTCTACCCAGCCCTTCCTGCACAACGTACATGGCTGTGGGAGATTAACTCATGCTTTGAAGGGAAAAAAGATTTAATTATTAAATACGAAAGCCAACAAATAAAATCAAGAAAAACATTTAGACACTTTTAGAGTTGTAAAATGTAAAAAGACATTTCAGGGGACCATTATCAAACAATGTCAGACCAAGCCAGATAAAAAGATAATTGAGCAGATAACTAAAAGCTTGGTCTGGAAAGCAGATTTTAAGGAACGTTTTAAGGAAGACGAAAGTGTACAGAGGCACAGGAATATATGTAGAAAATTCCAGAACACCACAATGTGAAATAATGTTTTATTTCCATTTTGAGCGTGCAGCAACTACAGTCAGCACCATTAGCACAGGTACAACAAGTTCGGATGCAGAGTAAAGTCTCCTATTCTCAAATAACCTGCTTTAAACAAAAGACTGATTGCATTGTGATTTTTTTCTCTTTAAATTTCTATCGTCTTTATGGCATCTCTACCAATTCATGTGTGGTTTTGTGCAGAAGGACTGTATCCAAACTCTTTTCATAATGAACATTACTCTTGCCAGAGAGAGGGCATCTTGTAAGGAAGAAGACAGTGTGTTGCATAAGGAAAGCCTAAGTATATGCAAAATTAACAAAGTTGTTTTGTTTGAGGATCCAAGTTTTTTTAGGAATCTATTTTAATAAATGTCATGCATAACTGTAAATCTTGTAGTGGTACGACTCAAATTCCATGGACTGTATGAAACCTCATGCATCCTAGGGGATACCAATCACAGAAAATCAAAATTTCATATAGTGTGGGATTCAGAAATACCAAACATCAAGAATCAAGCAAAATAAATTGTTGATTCTGAAGGAAGAGTTTAAACCTGTTTGCTTTAAAATTTAAACAAATCATGGCAGATTTTTTTAATGCATTAATTCCTGAGATGTGTCTACCTCAGTGAGCTGCAGTTAATTTGGTGTAGACCCACAATGCTGTTAGGGAGGGAATATATTTCCAAATCAAGATTATGAGTGGCTTGAGAAGGAACATGCAGGTGGTGTTCCTATGTATCTGCTGCCCTGGTCCTCCTAGATGGTAGTGGTCACAGGTTTCACAGGATTATAGAATCCTGACAGGGTGGAACCCTCCAAAGAGCATCCTGTCCAGACCCATTCCCCCACCCCAACGCCCACCCCCACATGGGTAGCCCACCTAGCCTGCACATCCCTGGACACTATGGGCAATTTAGCGTGGTCAATCCACCCTAACCTGCACATTTTTTGGACCAGTGTTTGTCCAAAGGGCCTTGGTGAACGTCTCCAGTGCATCTCATAGAGGTTACATTCTGCTGCTACTGAGTGTCAGCGGTGGAGGGAGTGGATGCTTGTGAATGTGGCGCCCAATCAAGCAGGCTGGTTCATCTTGGATTGCTTCAAGCTCAAGTGTTGTTGGAGCTGATTCGCCCAGGCACATGGAGAGTATTCAACAACACTGTTAACTATCAATCATCATTGACTGGCAACACTTCTACTAATCAGAATCTATCTTCCAACCAATTAGTGCTCTCCTCTCATACAGTTTCATGTTGGTCTTTCCCTTAAATTAGCATTCTCGCAAATTAATCTGGTGAGTGCAAGGAGAAAATATTTGACAAAATCTGTCATTTTTCAGGAATACTTAAGGAAGAGTTCATTCAAATACATTTGAGTAAAAGGACAAGTTAAAACATCTTTAAAATCATAATGTAGAAAATTCAACATATATAGCCAGCCTTACTCTGAAAGGCCAGATCCTAAACAAATTAACCAAAACAGTCACAAAAGCCTATTGAGCTAATGTTCAAGGAGCTTCCCGAGATGAATGAAGACATTCAGAAAACTTACAAGGATGTCAAAGCAAAGCAAGACATGGAAAAAAAGTACAGCTGTGACAGCAAAACATAACAGTAAGGAGGCAGTCAGGAGCTCATAAAAGATGCACATCGAACCAAAACAAGATGAACATATTCCAAACATTCACCATGGAAAATATGAGCAATGAGTCCTTCCCAATGTGATAAGATTCATGACATCAGTGAAATAGATTTTAAAAACCCCAGAGGCAGACTGGTTGGAGATTTTGCCAAGGGCGAAGTCATCAAGCTGGGCACAAACTATTTCATTTCTGTTGCCAAAAGTCAAAATTTGCCAGAAAACAGCACAGGCAAGTAGTGCTTAGAACATAACTGTCAATAAAACCTTCTGCTTTTGAAAAACGCCAGAACGTCGTTAAGAGTGGTAACTTGCTGCAGCTCGTATTAATAAAACAGTCAGCCGAGAGTGAGACTGGCAGGGTAGGAAAGGCTAGCTTTCATCATTTTCTGAACAAGGGTCCCAACCCAAAACATCAACTTTCCTGCTCCTCTGACGCTGCCTGGCCTGCTGTGCTTCTCCAGCTCCGCACTGTGTTATCTCTGACTCCAGCATCTGCAGTTCTTGCTATCTCTATAGCTTTTATCACGACTTTTTTTTTTAAAAAACAAAAAAAAGAGGTGGAAATTTGAATTGGTCCAGAAGCAACCACCTAAAGGTGCACTTCAGAAATTCACCAAGGCTCTTTGGACAACACCTTGACTGCTATTATCTAGAAGAACAAGGGCAACAGATACATGAGAACACAACCACATGCAAGTTCCCCTTCAAACCACTCACATTCTCCACCTCGAAATAAATCTTAGTTACTTCAGTGTTACTGGGTCATGGTGCTAGAACTTCCTCCCTAATGCTTTTGTGGGTAGACTGCCAAATGGATTGCTGCAGTTCCAGAAGACAATAAACCACCATCTTCTCAAGGGAAAATAGGGATGAGAACTAAATGTTGGACAACCGGCAATGCCCATGTCCTACGAGTGACTTTTAAAAAAAAAAAAGATTACCGTCATCAAATCCCCGACTATCCAGGGTCATCAATTTAAACTTAACTGAACAGCAACACAAGACTTATGCTGCAAGAACAGGTCAGAATTTGGGTATAATGTAGTGAGGGACTAGCCTCCTGCGCCTTCCAAAGTCTCAGCAGTACAATGCAACACTATCCACTTACCTGGAACTGCAACAGCACTCAAGAAGCTTGACACCATCCAGCTCAAAGCCAGCTGCTTAATTGTCACCACGTCTACAAGCTTCAACATTCACTCCCTCCACCATTGTGGCACAGTGTGCCAAAATGTACCAACTACATCATGCGCTGAAGCAATTGTCCAAGGCTCCCTCAACACTACCTTCCAAACCTGTGACTTCTGCCACCTAGAAGGACAAGGGTCAGCAGGAACACCAACACCTGCAAGTTCCCCTCCAATCCACATACTGTCAGAACTTGGAATTGCACTGACATTCCTTCGCTGTTGCCAGGTCAAAATTCTGGTACTCCCTTCCGAAGAGCACGACAGAGACAGCAGCATTTAAGGAAGATGGCTCAATATCACTTCAAGGGTGCAGTCACCTAATGAAGGAGCAGCACTCCAAAAGCTTGTGATTTCAAATAAACCTGTTGGAATATAACTTGGTGTTGTGTGACTTCTGACTTCAAGGGAATTAGGGAAGTGCATTCCCCACAACCTATATGGAAATCACCTTAACAACTCATCCACCACCTCTGAAAAGGTGTTGATACTCCTGGTCTTTGCAGCCTTTTAAATTGTTCCATTCAAAGTTAATTCTGGTCAGAGATGGAACAAGGCTGTTCTTCTCCATAACACCACCTAACCTCTGAAACACGCTGCTGCCTTAACATTCATTTCCACCGTGCTATTAAAACACTGACCTGTGACCCCACGTGGTAATGGAAGCTGAATCTTGACTGGTTTCAGGAAGTTGTCGGTTGTATTCTGTGACAAACAGAGCAAAGGGCTTGCTACTGAATCCTGATCCTGGAGAAGATCGCACAATTCCTCTGCAACAACTGGCAACACCTGTATTTACATTTTTAAAAGGCAATTGTGATAGAGTGTCTGGTTGAGCAAATTAAAAGCAGATATACAATCAAAAGCACGACAAAGCATTCTTCACTGGACGGAAATTTTAAATTTAATTTGATATACCAACCTGCATCTTCACCCTGCGAGACTCAGTCACCGCCCCAGCTGGAAAGGTCACCTTGATGTTAGGATCCACCGAGGAGAACAGTCTGGTTCCCTCATGGGGGACGGTACATTTATTCTCCTTCAGTCGAGAAATGACAAGGAACCAAGAGAAATGGAGTACGCTGCAGCAGGCCACATATTGCGACTATAAAAAGGAAAGAAAGTGACTGCACTGCATAACGACACAAGCCCCATATCAAAATAAATCCACCAACAATTTCTACATTAGGGACTGAATTTTACAGGGACACACTGGGCCGGAAATCCCACATCCCCATAAAACCAGGTGTTGTGAGGCACCCAATGCCATCAAATCCGTCAGCAATAAACAGGGAAAGGGAGCGGACGCCTACCTGCTTTTCAGAAAGTGACACAGTTAAGAGCTAATTAAAGCAATAAAACTGCCAATGCTCCAACATTCGGCATGGGTTGCGCGATTTTTTTGGGTAACAGGGGTTGGTGGGGGAAGATGTCAAAGCAGGCTTTCATGAACAGTAAGGAATTCGCTCCGAAAAGAATGCTGCTGCTCCAGGGGAGAGAGTTATTGATCTCAGGCTGACTTTCTAAGGTCATGCACAGCACCACTGCATCCAGAAGAGGGTCACAGTTTTGGTGGCTCGGAGGCACAGAGATTCCTGGGGCGGGGGGGGGGGGGGGGGGGGGGGGGGTGCGTGAAAACTCAAACAGATTGTGTGCCTCACTGTGCAGTCCAGTGGAGACACCTCCAAGGACGAGGACGAGGACAGCAGGAGGACGAGGAGGAGGGTAGCTGGGCACGGACAGCTGAACCTGGCTGAGCATCCTATTGAGGCACTCATGATGTGGAAGAGGCAGAAGACAGCAGGAGTCACCATCATCAAAGCCGTCTGCAAGGAAGAGCTTACCCTGCAGGCCAGACATGCAGGCTGCACCAAAACTAACCAGAGCTTTCACAGCATCCGGTGTTTTTGCTGGCTGTCTCCCTAGAGACAGAGAAATCCCCGTGCAAGATGCTGGCAGGGGAGATAATTTCCAACTGTGCTGGTGACCAGCTCTGTCACTCTTGGGGGGAGGTTTACGCCTCAGCATCATACTGTGCAGCACTGAGCCCATCGCTGCATCAAGGTAACCGCGGAGACACACTTTGCAGGAGATCAGGTGACTTCATTAACGAAGGAACCACAGCGTTTAGAGATGGAACATAATTCCCCAAAGAGCAGAGAGTCATCGTCTATGGCCATCAAGGTACGGGTAGGTCAGCCAGCGGTATTTACAAACTCTAAGAATTTTCACTCCCTGAATACAATTTGTACGTGACCACAGCCACAGGATCACACAGGTTTGTGCTCAGTACCCTGGGAGTAGCCATGATGTCTGTATCTTCCCAGCTAATCACCGCAGCAATGCCAATGGAAGGCTGGACACTTAGCAATGGAGCCTATCCACTAAAGGGATGGGTCTTGACACCAGTGAGGAATAGATGCCGATGTGTGGATTGAGCTAGTGATGCATGCAGTGCAGAATACACTGCCTCAGATCTCCCGGATTGTCCATCACAACTTTGTCCTGCACAATGGGGAGGACCTGGCAGAAGAAGACCTCGTTGTTCAACACACATTCCTTGATGAAGAATCAGAACAGGATCAGGGTGATCCACCCAACTCTCTATTTGACCAGAGGTGAAACAGGGATTGGGTGCCACGGAGACTTCAGAGTCTAATACCTAGGGATGACGACGTTGAGCCCTTTTGACACCAACAGGATTGCTCTGCAATTTCCTATTCTGCAAAACACCAAAATCAGCACTGCCTCCTGCCATTCACTCTCAACCTGCAGGAGGATAAGCAGCTTGTTATCATCATCATATGCCAGGAGCAGCGGAAGAGCAAGGTGGCCTCCCGGAATGAACTGGGACTGGCTCACCTAGAGCTGGGAGAGGATTGCCCATGGGAGGAGCAACTGTGATCGCCATCTTTGTGACCTAGATGGTGGCCATGTGGGCAGCCAACACAAGAGTTGGCAGACCCCAGCCAGTGGATTATAGGTTCCCCTTCCCTACACAGCACTGCCCTTCCCTTGAGCTACTGGACAGCTGAATGGTTGGTGCATCAACAGCATTGATGTTAACCCTTTAAAAAAAAACCGAGCAGAGGGAAATTCATCCGCGTCACGGTGTTATCCCACAACAGCAACATCTCCTCCCCCTATCCCCATCCAATACTAACACTTAAATCACACAAGAAACACAGGGCAAGCTGGGCATTGCCCTTTGCACTGCCATGATCCTGCTGCAATTCGTTAAAGTCAGCCCTCAAAATTCCAGCTGCTTCTTCAAGGTGCAAGCTAAAAAAAAACACATCCTCCCCTGAGCAGCACATGCTGTGTTACAGCCCTTATTTATGGAGCAACTTGTTTACGGAGAAATGGAATATATACGCAAGAAAAGATTGGAATTAAGAGAGAGAGTGTGGCTCCAAAGTTTCTTCCTTCTTTTAATATTGAATGTTTCTTTCTCCAGCCCCCAGTGAAACTATAACATTAATTAATCACTGGACATAGAGCAGTATGGAAGACAACACTATGCCTGTAAAGGAAAACAGAATTTCTTCTACATATAGAAAGCAAATGTCCATCATATTTTGGCTCTTGGCACCAGCAAACTCCTGTAACCATGGGAACTCCATCACCATGGCTACCTTTGAAGAAACATCAATGTAGTGCAAACAAAATAAAAAAAGACTCCCTGTAGCATCACATGACTGACTAATCAAGAGAAAAACATACAGCCCACATTGAACCAAAACCAGAAAAAAGCAATTGCAGCATAACTCCGCAACCAAATAAAAAGGAAGGATACAGACAGCCCTTTAATGTGTTGTTTAAATGTTGTGACTCAGAGTGTGACTCAGTTCCAGAAGCATTTGGGGGATGTTCCAGACGGCAGAGCATGAATATTGCCAATAGCATATTAACCCAAAGCTGCATTCACAATTGCAAACTTTCAATGGTTTATATACCACACAAAAGGTTTTTCACAAACTGCTGCTCAAGAAATTGATGATAATGTTTACTAATGAAGGGAACCTGTGCAACTCACTGATAACTTGCAGAATGATCCAATATATTCATGAAACTGACTCATATTTTTACAATATTAATTTCTCAGGTATGGTTCAGCAGGCCTGTTTTACAATATTTAGAAGGCTTGAATTCATTAGATATAGATCATTTCCGAATAAACCTGCAGTCATAGAATCACTTCAGAGCGGAGAGAGGCCATTCGGCCCATTGAGTCCACACCGATTCTCCGAAGAACATCCTACCCAGTCCCAGCCCCCACTCTATCCCCATAATCCACGGTTACTATGCTTGATCCACCTAACCTACACATCCCAAGACACTAAGATAATTTTGGCATAGCCAATCCTCCTAACCTGCGCATCTTTGAACTGTGGGAGGAAAGCAGGCACCTTCCATACAGACAGTCACCCAAGGCTGGAAATCAACCCCAGATCTCTGCCGCTGTGTGGCAGCACTGCTAACCACTCAGCCACCCAGTCACTACATTCCCTTTATAAAATGCATTCATACTGATGTGCAACTCTTGTTTAGAGCACGGGCTGGCACAAACAACTGACATTAACAGAACAGAGCCACCACATGATCCTGTCCCCTTTATGTTAACCCAGCCTTTGCTTGTCTTACTCATCCATGCACCCAATGGAGATGGAGAAAGTTAGCCAGTGCACAATTTGTACGGAGGCCTGCATCCACCCCACAATGAGGCAAGGTCGTTGTTGTCTCTCCCCAGTGAAATGTTTCGGGGGTTTGCTCAATTCAGGAAAAAGCAGGTTGACATTCACAGCAAGTTTGATCTTTATAAGGTGTATCTATCATTTCCTCACACAGTTTCAAGATTAAACAGTTTCCTTGGGGAGGGTGTTCTGCAGATTAGCCATTCTTTCAGTACATTTGTGTTGAACGAATGTAACTTAGAGCACAGGCCATATCCTCCACAACTACTATTCTGGGCAAGAAGAAGTGGCTTGATATGGTCAATATTAAGGATGTGATCTCTAATTATTGTTGTGATAGCATAAATGGTGGTAACCAAGGGCAATGAAAGACATCAATAAGCAAACGGATGTCACCTTTGTAACATTTAAAGGGAAACTCATGAAAACAAGCTTCCCACTTTAAAGACAACTTTAAAATTATGAACACAACTGGATTGCTCACTGCACGGCCAACACACCTCAAACACCTTAGTATCCAGGTCACTCCAGCTGTCACTGAATGTTCGGATCACAACTTCCCTTCGATGGTCAGAATGAGGAGGAATGTACGGCATCCTGATGAGTACTTCCTGACAATGCACAAGGGGAAAATGACATTTAATCAGGTAGTAGATTTGATCAATAACTTGCTTTTCAAAATGATGAGTTTTTTTGAAAACAATGTGCATACACTTGGATCAGCCATTCACCACTACATTCAATATTTGCACAATGCAGACCCTTAATCGCTCAGGCACCTTCTTCATGCTAACCATCATCTGATCTAAAAAGGCCGAGTGTAATCACAACTTGTAAACAATTCAACGGCAAATTCCAAATCAGAATTTTAGGCACAGAGTTCCCAATTCTTTGGAATTGTGATTTCGTCGTTATTGTTTTACTTCTTGCAAATTGTTTCTTTTCATTCGTTTGTGTGGGTGTCGCCAGCCAGGCCAGCATTCATTGCCAATTCCTAATTGACCTGGAGAAGGTGGTGAGCTGCCTTCTTGAACCACTGTAGTCCATAGGGTCCAGGGACTTCTGAAACTAACAGTACTACAGTTACATTTCTGAAGAAGGGTCTAGGCCCGAAACGTCAGCCTTCCTGCTCCTCTGATGCTGCTTGGCCTGCTGTGTTCATCCAGCTCTACACCTTGTTATCTCAGTACTACAGTAAAACCAGCATTGCTGACTAAAATAAATCTCAAAACATTTTGAAAAAAAAAAAGAAAAAACAGTAGGCACTGCCCAGAAAGTTAGAGTTAGGAAATTGAAGGCACAGCGCAGGATTTATGGGGTTCAAATAAGCCTTGCAATGCTGACTGAGCAAGGCTAAGTGGTCTTCAGAGACAATTCCAGAGATCAGAGGAGCCGGTTGAAGAACAGCATTGTGGAAGCTAACATGGAAAACAAAGCAGTTAAACAGAGTAAGAAAAGCAGAGTATATAGATTGTTGCAAAGTCTAGAGAACACTATATATACAGTGAGAACACAAAAGGGAGTAGAGGTTTGAATAAGGACTTGTTAGCCCAGAAAGATTAATGTAAAAATCCTAAATTATATGAGAAGAATGGAGATTTTTGCACTTTTTAAATTCTCAAAGACAGGCAATCAAAAGCAACCTCACATGTATATACAAGATAGATGGTTTTATGGAAAAGATAAATGTGGAAAGACACCCAAACTTCAAACTCGCTAAAATAGCAAAGTTAGGACAGTCAGGAATTTGTTCTTTACACAGATCGATGTGTGGGCAGGTCTTCTAGATAGAAATGAAAATTCTAGAATCAGGAAATTCTGGTATTTAGAATCGGTCAGGAAGGATAAGCCTGCCCTGGAGTTGGGCAGGTCAGTTTTCCTCATCCTTAGACACACACTGTGTGGATAGTTTGAAATTGCTTCAATGGTCTCCACAATTATGTCACCATTTTTGTCTCAAAATTTAGCAGCAGCTAAATGAAACTGCTAAATAATACTTATACCCCAATTAAGGATACACAGCAATACTGTAGGAAGGAGCTTTGTAAGGAGAACTATCTAGCGAAAAATCAAGGAGAAAAGCACAGTAGTCAAGGACAGAGAGATGGAGCTTGGAAAGAAGTGGAGAGTTAGTTATTTTAAAAAAAGCATATCTTTACAATGAGCAATGCCTCAGGAGATATGTTGGTATACTCTTCCAATAACATTTTTCCATCACATTTCTCGGATATAGAAAATTCTGAAGAGAAAACAAGGTTTCCAACCATCGAACCTGAATTAGCAAATATTCCTGGCGATAGTTAAACTCAAAATCATGTGCGTTTTCGTTTAGCATGAATTGCAGCCTTAAGTGGAAAACTCAAACTTTGCATCGGAATAATGTGAAATCCTAGGGTTTGATGCTCCTTGGCTTTGTAAAAGTTCATCAGTCAACGTACCATGAGAAATGGCAAAGTATGGAAATTTCAGGCAAACGCTGGTACCTTTTCAAACTGTACCCCATGTGGTAAAAGTTCCAGGACCTGGCTCAGTAAGAAGTCATGATGCCTTAGTTTCACCTGCTGTGGGTCAGGGGAAGTCACTCTGCACGTGATCACTGCCAGAGAAAGTGAATCAGGTGGGAAGTGGATTTCAATCCCGCAGGGTAACACAACCTTGCAGCCTTCCGTGGTCACAATGAAGCTGGAAGAATTCAATAACGCACAGATTTAATTCCGTTACCTCAGGCAACCAAACTATCCGATTTGATCAAACAACAACTGTGGGTACCTGTCTGCATTGGAGGAGAGGTATCGGACTGGGATATCTTTGGGTTTGGCACAGCCTGTATAGAATGAGAAAAGAAATCCAATAAATCATCTCTGTACAAGTTTTGTCAAGTGATTTTAAGCATCTGCCACCACATATGGTATATCACATGAGAAATTATATTCCCAATGTCATTGGATTGAATGGCCTTATAATGCCAGGAGCAAAAAAATGTGAGTAATACAGGCAAGTCAATTGCATCAGTGGAAACACATTGAGAATATTGCACTTCTCTTCACTTAACAGGGTCCCTTTGTATCCTAGACTTTCACTCTGCCTTGTATGCAGAAACACTGGATGGAAGCAATCCATTAAAGGATTCAGGTGACGTTGTAAAGCACACGTTTAATCTGATCAGTCTTGATAATCAGATCTGGGGGCATGGTGGCTCAGTGGTTAACGCTGCTGCCTCACAGCACCAAGAGCCTGGGTTCAATTCCACTCTCAGGCAACTGTGTGGAGTTTCCACGTTCTCCCCGCGTCTGCGTGGGTTTCCTCTCACAGTCCAAAGATGTGCAGGCTAGGCGGATTGGCCATGCTAAATTGCCTGTAGTGTTCAGGGATGTGTAGATTAGGTGGACTATAGGGGGATAGGTTTGGGTGGGATGTCTGAGGGTCGGTGTGGACTTGTTGGGCCGAAGGGCCTGTTCCCACACTGTAAGGGAGTCTAAGTGTATCACATAAACCTTAGAAGTAGGCATCTACTTGCGATCTTGGCATTCAAAGTATTTTGCATGAATATTTTTAGAATAAAAATTAAAATGCTCTATCATTTCCATTACGCAAACAATGATAGCACAAAATACAGTATTCTTCCAGCGGTAAACTGCACCTGAAATCTTACGGGTTTTTCCCACTTTTCACCCCACTTTTTGCTTATTTCATCTGATCTGCCAATATTGAAGCAATACAAAAAATGTTTCAATAAAGGGGTTTGGACTGTGAATATTGCAAGGTATTCGTGTTTTTTTCCCTTCACTGAGCAAGACTCACTCTCTGGCACACAATGTTACAGCCTCCTACTAACTACTGAAATGGTAGCTGTTGCCCTCTGGTGGCATCTTCAATCCAGTACATGAACACCAACAATGGAAAAAAAACGCAGGGCTGGACATAACAGCAACACTTATTCCCAACCTGGGAAATTTAATGTTACTTTTTAATAATTGCAACTTATGATACTGACAATCATTGTACAGAACGAGTTTCCATTGGAAGTGGTGAATGCAGGTATGGTTACAATGTTTAAAAGATATTTGCATAATTACATGAATAAGAAATTTTTGGAGGAATATGGGCCAAGCACAGGCCGATGGAATTAGTTTAGTTTGGGATTATGTTTAGCACGGACTGATTGGACTGTGCTGTTTGAATCTATTAAAAGAAGGAAGACTTCAATCGTTGATTGAACTCTGAAGCAATCATGCAAAGATTCTGTCTCAGTTGCCACGTCAAACTCCCTCATTTCAATTTATTTTTGTACAGCACCATGAAAACCACTATAAACAGCAGGTCATCTCCACACAAATTAAAATGCAATGCTCCTTCAAGACTGATGTCTCTCAGCACAAACATCAGTGTTCTGTGCGAGGTGAGATTAATCAGCAACATTTGCCCAGTGTAACTGTAAAATAGACAATTATACTGGAGCAACACAGTGTGGAGCTGGAGGAACACAGCAGGTCAGGCAGCATCAGAGAAGCAGGAGAGTTGATGTTTCCGGCCTGGACCCTTCATGAGGGCTCTGGGGGAGGTGATCTGAATAAAGATATACAGCAGCAGAGCTGCAAGGGCCATTCTGCAAACTTAGTTGGTAAAATGATTGCTTGCTGTGGAATTGAGCCATACTGACCACACTGTCCCAGGATCAGGCTCTTCACCTGTGCTCAGTAAACCAATATTTGTCAGTATCGCAGTAAGGTTTCAGAGAGTGTAGGTATATCTGTCAGGCAAGGGCAGGCTCTGGTCTCACCATAGTCCTTTATATAGTCAGTTGAGAGTCACCAACTCATCTTACTACTTGGGTAAAACACTTGTGGCTGTACCTCAATGTGAGTTTGTGGCTACAAGAATATAAGAGATAGAGAATAAAAAGATGTTAAGAATGAATCATAATTCTAAAGAAGGCTATACACAGGAAGGCTCAATCTACTGCTCTTTGCCTAGTTTCAATCCCAGGCAACATACAGGAGGTGTGGGTCAAGCAAAACCAGGAACTTCACTTGAGAGTGTGAAGCCGTGGCGTGTGTGCGGGGGGAGTGGTGGGAAGAGTAGGAGAGGGAGACAGAATGTGAATTGGTTAAGTTCCACTAGATTATACTAATTCATAACTACAAGATCATAAGAAATAGAAACAGGAGTAGCTGTTCGGCCCCTTGAGCCTGATCCGCCATTCAAGGGGAGCATGGCTGATCCAAGTAAGTTTCCCTCCCCACCGAGGGATTGAACCCTGGTCTCCCATGTGACAGGCAGGGGTACTAACCGCTATTCTAAGGGGTGTGTAGAAGTGTAATTGACTTGAGTTCAGATACAGTCGGCTCCAGTTATGATTGCAAGTGTAAAAAATGAAGCACAGCTCAGTAGAAGGGAAAGTCAGGGGAAAAGATGGAGCCATTCCCCCCGAACCAAACAGGGAACATTTTTTGCAATTATTTTTGATCTTTAAAGCTAAGTATTAAATGACTTGACGGTTCAGGAAACATTTAGCAGGATGGCTATAGGGATGAAGGATTTCAGTCACAAAGATGGATTACAGAAGTTCTACTTAGAGAAGGGGAAGGTTGAGTGGAGATTTGCTTAATTCAAAAACAGGAGGGAGAAACTGAAAACCGGGGGACACCAATTTAAGGTCATTGGCAAAAAGAACCAACAAGAGGAAAAACTTCTTTAAGCAGCAAGCAGTGAATTTCTGGAATGTACTAAGACTGTGTGAAGGCATATTCAATTGTGGATTTAAGAAAAGAGAAGAGAATTGAACAATTATCTGAAGAGAAATTTTTTGCAGGGCTATGGAGAAGGGGAAGGGAAATGGGATTAACAGACGAGCTCTTACACAGACAAGTCTGGCTGAATTGCCTTGTTGGGTCTATAAACCATTTATCTCCGGCTTGGAAGAAAGGGGCAAATCAAAGGAATAATACAAAGGTTTTATTCCTGATCAGCGCCCAATGACTTCACTGCTGGAAGTTTCAGCGTAGTACCTTTCTCCTCCCATGATTAAACTGATAATAGTTTCAGCTCAAAGCATGATGGGCTACTGGGTTGACTAACCAGATGACCAATTAACCACTACACAGATCATTTCTTATGCAATTTCCCATCCACAGCAACTCACAAGTAGAACTGGAAAACTATGGAACCCCTTTCATAACTCTTGGCATTCAGCGAATCAAAAAAAAAAACAAAAGCCTTGTTTAAAAAGTACATAAAAACACACAAACTTTTGCAAAGATACAAAAATCGAAACTGGTGAAATAAAACACAAACTTTGGATTCATTACCTTTTTCTTCTGGGGACTCTGCCTCCCCTATTGGATTGCCTTTTAAATTCACATAGGGCAAATTCTGGATCTCCGCAGGGACAGAGCGCAAGCTGTTGTTTTGGAGGTCAAGTCTGGACAATTTGGGAAGATGAGCGAGGGAGGTTGAGACGGTTACAAGTTGGTTGCTGTGTAGGTACAATTCCCCAAGAGATTTCAGGTTTGCTGTGTGCAGAGTATAAAAGCTTTGCGTCATTTACAACTGCTGTTTAAAAGGCACTGTTATTACATCTCTTATAACACCAGCACCTAAAATGATATCGTATTACAACACCAACATGCTGAAAGTTAAAACATATATACAAAATTTTGGAACAATGGAAGACTCGAGAAGGTTTACCAACAGATATTGTATGAGATTGTAGTGAGTTTATTGTGGACTAATAAACATTAATAGAGCTTCAAAGTAATGATTTATTCGTCGTTGCTCGATTGTCATTTTATAGGTAAACTCTCTGATCAGAATGCTAATTTTCCATTGCATTCTCTTGAAACATATGGTGGGTACCAAAAGTGCTGTAGTATAGACACAGCTGAACAGACAAAATACGCTGGGATATTAATCTTGTCACATGAAATTAAATTTAAGTATTTTGCACATTATCTTTTCAGATGTTCACAAATCTGAACAAAATAACCTTCTGTACATCTCCTATTAATGAACAATTTCTAAACTCAAATCATGTTGCTATTCCAGTGATTACAATTGTTTCGCAAATAAACTCACCGAGTGAAGACGGTATGGTTGTTAATCTATTGCCTGAAAGGTCTAACTGTGCACAGTTGAGGAGGTTTCCAATCTCATCAGGAAGCTGTTCCAGTTCATTTTCAGATATATTTGCTTTCTGCAATGCCACAAGTTCGCCAATATTTCCAGGCAACTCTCTCAGCTTGTTTTTCATCAGTGAAAGAAAGGTCAGTTTTGCCAGCTTGCCAATGCTCTCGGGCAGTGCGGCCAGCTGGTTATGGGACAGCAGAAGCACAGTTAGTTCCTTTAACTCGGTCACGCATTCAGGAACAGAAGTAAAGCTGTTGAAGCTCAAATCCAAATGGGTCAAGTGCTGGAGATGTCTGAACTCGACAGGCAAAGTGGCCACCAGACCTCGCTGACATGCTCCATATTCATCTTTGTTATGGCCACCTAGTGAATGCCAAGCATAACGCAATATGTCAGATCACCAAGAGGCTCAAGAATTTTCAGATAAGACCATAAAGCTAGGAGAAGCAGACCATTCAGTCTATTGCTATTCAATGAGATTCATGGCTGATCAGATAATCCCCAACTCCACTTTCCTGCTTTTTTCTCCACAATGGCCTTCGATTCCCTTACTGATTATAACAAAAATCTATCTCAGCCTTGAATACGTTTGAGGGCCCAGCCTCAACAGCCCTTTATGGTTAAAAACAAAAAATCTACAAGTTCACTATTCTGAGAGGAGAGGATATTCCTCATTTGTCTTAAATGTACAACCCCTTATTCTGCAATTATGCCCTCTGGTCTAAGACCAAACGGACCAAACTTTCTGTGTCTACCCGGTCAAGGGCCTGGACAATCTTTTATACTAAAAATAAAGTTGCCTTATTCCTCCTTATTCCAACAGATACAGGCTTAATCTACTCAACCTCCCCACATAAGACTGCTTCCCACACCTAGGTATCAGCCTAGTCAACCTTCTCTGCATTACCTCCATTACCACTAACACCTTTCCTTCGATAAGGGACCCAAAATTGTTGACAGTATTCTAGTTGTTATCTGACTAGTGTCTTATCTAGGTTGAACAAAAAACTTCCATACTTTTATACTGCATTCTCTTTGAAATAAAAGGCCAACTTTCTATTTGCATACAAAACCGAAAGAACTGCGGATGCTGGAAATCAAAAACAGAAACAAAAACACAAACCCTACTCGAAATGTTACGTCTGATTTCTCTCCACAGATGCTGCCGGACTTGCTGAGCTTTTCCAGCCATTTCGGTTTTTGATTCCATTCGCATTCCCTATTATCCACTGAACTCGGTTACTAGCTTTTTGTAAGTTCTGGATGAAAACTCCCAAATCCTTCAGTTCCATAGATTTCTGCAGTCTTCCTTCATTTAAATAATATTCAGCTCCTCTATTCTTCCTGCCAAAGTGCTTAACCTCACATTATGTTCCATCTTCCATGGATCAGCATGGTCAGATTTAGAACAATGATAGCCATCCAGATGACTGTAACTGTAAAGCTAATAGGTTAGTAAGTGTTTTCCAAGATGCTTGCCTCCACAATGCTTCATAAAGCTCCCTCCCATTCTTTAAAACTGCAAGATACCAATCAAATTCTATCATAGGTGATAGGAAACCAAAGGGCCAATATCATCATACACAAACAGGTCAACAGCTCTAAACAATCAAGAATATTTCACAATTCAATTATTCTAATTAATTCTGAAATATTCATCTCTCTTCAAAATACAAGCTCAACCAGAGCAATGATACTTTGCAGACTGAAAGAAAAGCAATTTAAACTTAGGAAAGGCTTGGTGCAATCCAGGTCACAGATTTCTACATTTCACAGGATACTTAGCTGTGAAAAAGATCTTATGTACAGGAAATAAGAGTATTACTTCAACAAAAACACAATTACCGAAGAAAATCATACCAGATATCACTTCAAATATTAAAAGATAATTACTTATATATACACAACTAATCAAAAGGGAGGTATGAGTGATGGTAATGTATTTGTACAACTACATAACTAAATCTACTTGTATTACCTTTCAGTACAAGTGATTTCAGCCTCCTTAGTTCAGGAATGATAGCAAGCGATGAACCAATTTGCTCGTCATTGCAGTTTAGTCGCAGAAACTCAACCTGTTGCACCTCTGCTTTGCGTGTTTCGTGAAGTACAGAAAATCGGCTGCTGCTGTTTGGAAATACATCTAAATTCAATCGGTTATCCGCCAAGCACACATCCGCATTGCAGAGGCTGCCTGCTTCCCCACGCAGTGATTCAGCCATCTTTTACCATCGCTCAGCATTGTGAGATGCATGTTCTAACATGTTGGTCAGATGGCAGGTGTTTTTCACAAGATTTCTCCCTCGAGAATAGGCTGCAGCCTGAATAATTGGCAAAACAAGACAACCGAAAATTAATTTGTTTGTGGTACTTCCACATTAGGGCAAAATAAATTATATTGTGCATGTTGTCTAGTTTGTTCTCCTAATTGAAAGAGCTGACCCACTCTATGGCACAGTCCATAGCTTTCCAGTAACTTGTTCATGGGGAGATAGGGACATGTTATTCAGTGAGGAAAGTAGTAAAGTATACTGCACCTGGTGGGTGCAATTACAATATATAAAAGACATTTGGACAGGTATATGGATAGGAAAGGTTTAAGAGGGATATGGGCCAAAAGGAACTAGTTTAGTTTAGGAAACCTAGTTGGCACGGATAAGTTGGGTTGAAGGGCCTGTTTCTGTGCTGTATGACTCACCTGATAGTCCCTTTTCATATATATATACACATCTATGTATGCTGATGAAGAGAAGTTTCCTTTTGTATTGGACTTTCATATCCTTAGGATAACCCAAAGCACTTTAAAGTCAATGACGGACATTTGAAATGTAGCCATTGTAGCAATTTGGGCAGTACAGCACCCACATTGCATACAGCAAGATCCCAAGCTGCAATGGATAGATCATCTGTTATAGTGGTTATCTAAGGGATATGTATTGGACAGGCCTCCCAGGAGACTTTTTCATGCTTTCATGGTAGGTGGGCACTACTTGCTAGGTCAGTATTTAGTGCACACTCCTAAATGTCTTTGAAAAGCTGGTGAACTGCATTTGTGAACAGTTGCAGTTCATGTGATGCTGGTACACATTGCCAAGGAGGCAGTTCCAGAGTTGTGACAATGACAGTGAAGGGACAACTATATAGTTCAATTTCAGCGTGGACTGTGGCTTGGAAGGGTACTTACAGATAGCATGTATTACCATTCTTGGTAACTACTGCCCTTGTCGTTCTAGGTGGTAGGAGTTTAGAGTTTGGAAGGAGCTATCATAGATCCTGACTTGTGCCAGGCGTTAGGAGCAAACAACACAGGAACATTAGGCCATTCAGTCCATTGAGCCTGCTCCACCATGCAATATAATCATGGCTGATCATCCATTTCAATACTTTTTCCACCCCCTCACTAACCCTTTATACTTTTAGTATTTAGAAATTTACTTTAAACATAAACAATAGCTCAGCTTCCACAGTCCTTTCAAAGATTCATAATCTAATGGATTTTAAAAAAACATAATTCTTCTTTCTCATCACTGTCCTAAGTGGCATCTTCATAATTTTGAAATTGTGTCCCTTAGTTCTACGATCCCCAAACAGCAGAAACATCTTACATGCATCTACCCTGTCTATCCCTTCAATAGAGTCACCTCTGATTCTTCGAAACTCGAAAGAATATAGGTCCTGTTTCTCCTATCCTCTTCACAGGACAATTCTGCCATCACAACAACTAGTCTGGTGACTATATGTTACACTCCCTCAGTAGCAATCTCCTTTCTATGGTAAGGGGACCAAATCTGTACACACCTCTCTAGGTGCAATCTAACTAACGCTCTATACAGATGCAGCAAGACTTTGCTGCTCCTGTACTCAAATCCTCTGGCGATAAAGACTAACACTCCATTAACCTTCCCAACAGCTTGGGGCACCTACATCTAAGCCTTCAGTGATTTATTCCAAAATGATCAAATCCATTGGTAAATCTATACTTCCCAACCTCTTGCCACTTAAGAAATACCCTGCATGTTTATTCTTCCTACCCAAGTGGATGGCTCATGATTTCTACATTATATTCCATCTGGCATCTTCTTCTCCAGTTAACCGTTTCTCCAAGTTCTCTTCAAGCCATTATGCATCTTCCTCATAGTACATGAGCTTTGTGCCTTCGGCAAACCTGGAAATATTATAATATATTTAGTCCCCACATCCAAATGATTGATATAGATTGTAAACAGCTGGGATCCAAGTATAGATCCTTGCAGTACCTTACTACCCAGGCAACAGGAGAATGGCCAGTTGATTTCTCCCTGTTAACCAATTCTTAATCCATGCCAATACATTATCCCTCTCCCACGTGCTTTATAATTGCTAGCCAACCTCCTGTTGGCACATTTTCAGAAACCTTTTGAAAATCTAAATATATTTCATCTATGACTCTTCCTTATAAATTCTGTCAGTTGCACCCTGAAAAAAAAAGCCATGAATTTCGCACATGACTTCCCAATCTGATCATTATTGTCTAACTGTCCATTTATCCCATCCTTTATGATGGATTCTAGCATTCCCCCTACTCCTCATACAAGGTGAAACACAAGTTTATTAAAGGAAAAAGGAGAAAAGCAAAGCTATTTGCATGTATATACAAACGGCAATTGGAAAAGATAAATACAAATGGTAAAACATGGATCTAATCTTCCTCCAAGCAATAATGTTTTCAGATACTCAATCCCAGAGAAATCTTAAATCTTTAATTTCTCACTTGACCCACTCTTTCAAGCTTCCTTCAGGGACTGCCGAAACAGTTTTAAGAGTTCTTCCCAGTTCTAACACCTGAACCTCCCTTCACTTCTGATCACCAAAATCTCTTTTCAATTCTGATTGTACAGAAGTTTTCTACCTAACTCTCACAGCTGGGAACTTGACAAAACTAAAACACTTCTGCTAGGGTGAAACTGTTCTTCTGTTGGGCTACAACCTGGTGTCATGTGATTTCTGACTTCGTTCACCCCAGTCCAACACCAGCACCTCCACAGCTTGAAAATTAAGTATTTAGTCACTTTTCCAAATGACAAATCTGAAGTCTTAAAAAATTTATCAGAGATAGTAGGAACTGCAGATGCTGGAGAATCTGAGATAACAAGGTGTAGAGCTGAATGAACACAGCAGGCCAAGCAAAATCAGAGGAGCAGGAAAGCTGATGTTTCGGGCCAAGACCCTTCTTCAGAAATGCATTTCTGAAGAAGGGTCTAGGCCCGAAACATCAGCCTTCTTGCACCTATGATGCTGCTTGCCCTGCTGTGTTCATCCAGCTCTACACCTTGTTATCTTAAAAAATTTATCTGCTTTTGTTTTAAAAAACCCAAATAGTAATAACATGTTATATACCTTTATCACAATCTCATCTTTATTAGCAGTGCAACACCACCCCATTTTCCTAATTCCCTGTCTTTCTTAAAAAAAAAATCAAATAACCTTTGATATTCAGTTCCACTTGGTCATTCTGCAATCTTGTTTCCGTAATGGTAATTAGATCGTACTCATTTCCCTCTACATGTGCCTTCAAATCAGCCACCTTTTTGTAATACTGTGTGTATTCAGATAGAGTGCTGTTAAATGTTGTCCATCCACCCTATAGGTCCATTTGACAATCAGCACCTGTGGCACCACAGCACTCACTCAATACTGCAGACAAGTGGCAATCAATACAGTTGCACTTCTGTCTCTGGAGAGGGAAAGTAGCTCTGAAAGTGCTGGCAATGAACACATTATAGGATAAAAATCTTCCCTACCATCCCACTGTAAGAGTGCCTTGTGCAATGAATTTGGACATTATCAATCCAGCTCCTAGTCAACCTCAACCACCAACTGCAAAAATAGATGTAATTTATCAAAAATAGCATGCTATAGCTGTAACAACAGTAACCTACATTTACACAGTTCCTTCAAGGTGATCCAGTGATACTTCATAGGAGTATTATCAAACAAAATCTGCAACCAAAGAGCATAAGAAGATGTTAAGATGGGTGACCAGGCTCATCCTGTCCATGAGATCGTTCTCACATTCACTCAATTATTCCACATTGTCCCACAGCTCTGACCATCTTCAATGGTCTGGGTTTTCATGATTTTGAACATTTCTACCTAGTACTGCTCTAAAGAAAACAAATCCAGAACCTAACAGTGGTCAGAGCTTCCATAACTTTTATGATTTAGCATAATTATTAAGTTTAAATTATCACTCCTAAATGATCTGACCATAATTAATTATTTCACAATTCTTGCCACAATGCTTGTGAAAAGCACAGATGATGCTTCCCTTGTCGAAATGGGCCTCATCCTCAGCCCATTTTTCCCATTAATTCTTGTCCAATTCTGCCACAGCCCATGTTGCTCAGACCCATTTGAGATCCCACCCTTTGAAATTATACCCTGCATATCCATGTCCAGGTCATTAATTGACGTGAAAAAAATCAGTGATCATAATAGAACCCCTGAGGGGCACCATTGATATCTCTTTCCAGTTTGAAAAAAAAATATAGTACTACACTGGGGTGTGATTATATATATAAATTAAAAAAATCATTATATTGTCCTCATCAACCCTCGCCAATACTGCAATGAATTTCAAGTTAATCAAGTACAATTTTCCATTAACAATTGTGCTAACTTTCATTAACTTACCCTTATTTTTTCAATCACAAGTTAACTTTGTCACTAATTGTTTTCCCTTTAATACGTTTCCTGCAGTTTTATTATTGCTAAACAGTTGTCAGTGTGGCACTGGCAGATTCTCTTCTTCTTCATATTGAAGGCACTATATAAAGCCAAGCTTAGGGTCTTGAGGTGCAGCAGTAGTGTCCCTGCTTCCGAGCCCAAAAGACTGGGTTCAATTCCCACCCAACCTGGAGGTGAGTCATAATATATCCAAACAGGTTGATTTCAAATCAATAAGTGAAAGCTTTTGTTGCTTAACTGAAGGTCAGTGGCCTTTGACAAGAAGATAAGGAAGCAGAAAAGCAGCTAAAATATACAGTCTAGTACAACCTGTGACGGACTGGGAAGAATAATGAAGTTCACTGGATACGAACTGGAAAAAAAAACGGCTTCTGACTTTCTTAAACTTAGGTTGCAGAAAGCTATGATTATGCAATACTGGAGGATGGATAAGCTGTCTGATAGCACAGAGACAATGAAGTAAAGGCAATGTTCAATTCTAGAACAGAACCTGTGA